CGGCCAAAGGGTGTACTTTGGCCTCCACAGTATGAGGTCGATACTGACCAACCAGGTATCCCAGGGTTATACTGCTTCCTCGCTGTCTTTCATGTTAGCCGGTGATTTCTAAAAGATCAGATTCTTGAATTCAACACTCTGGCCGTACTGCAGCTATGTCCCGTCTAGGCTAGTCGTCGACCCGTGAGGCAACTGCTTCCTAAGAAACACACCAGATGAGCGGAGGCCTTTTTCAGTGGAAGAATTTCCAGTCAGCCAAGTGCATTCCCAACCAAGAACCAAATTGCCAAGCCTACCATTGCACCGGAGACAAACGTTTCATTACCAGTCAATATGGTCTGCAAAATTTTTCCATGAATTTCCTTCATCTTGTCAATATGTTAATAACTCTAAACTTCTCGTCTCATTGTATAAGTTTGCAATAAGTTGCCTGAACGTCGCTTATTAAATTAAATTTAAAATAACAGTTTCTCCTGTGGGAGTAAGTAACCGCTTTCATGCAAATAATAGTTTTTCAAAGAATAGGATTTCAATGCAACGTTTGTTGAATATATCTCCTGAGAGGTTTTCCTTTTGATATCTGTTAAATGATGCAACTAAAAAAAATAATAAATAATTTAGTTTGATTTATTGAAACGAGCAGATTTTATTTTGTTTTTCTTTACTACATACATATAGCGGTGTTTTGTCTTCATTTATCTGAACATTTTAATTTCCACCTAATTTAAGGATTTCGAATGGTTTTTTGACGTTTCGACACACATGGTGCACAAGGCTGAGTTTAGCATTAAGCAATATAAGCACGTGCTTATAGCATCAAGGAATGAGGGCGCTAAAAAGTTTCCCATTGCGGCTTTACCATGGAATGAATGATGTAGGCAGAACAAAAACGGGGAAAGATAGAAGAAAAAGCCGGCGAAACTTATGTGGGGGCACCAAAATGGTTTTCGTGTTTAGGTCCTCTAAAAGTCTTAATCTGACCCCGATGGCGCAGCATGTCATGACATTCTACTGACGTTCCCCAACTTTCAAATAAAATTTCGTAATTAAGACACAATAACACGCCGAATAAATACTAATTCAGAAGTCAAACAACAAAAATCAGCGTTATATTTACAAAATTTTCACAGGACTAGTTTCGATGGTTTTACCGAACCACCATCTTCACCTGCAAAACCGCAAATGAACATGATAGCAAATAATGATTAGATAAGATAAGAAAGCCTGGACAAGAGTAAGCAAGTGGCGCCATCTGTTGCGAAACAGAACTAAACATAATTTCTCTAAAAGCGAAGGCAAATTGGATTGGAATTAGGATCGTTTAGAACAGAAAGATTTCTATGAATGTGAAATGCCTCTAGAAAATCAGTTCTCCAATGGAAGATGTTTTTTGAATAATTTTGGCAACAGAAAAATTGAAAGTGTGATTTTCGGACCAACAATGTTGAGCAACAGAAAACTTCTGTGTTTCCTTTTTTCTAACATATGCCTCATGTTCTTTGACGCGAAATTTTAAGGCTCTCTAATATAACGCTGATTTTTGTTGTTTGACTTCTGAATTAAAATTTCGTATTCATACGTTGCTCCATTTCACCTGCTCACAGCGCTATTGCGGCCCACCAGCGGCCGAGCGGTAAAGTCGCTGAACACTGGTAGTTGGGTCCGAGGTTCGAATACCATGAACGGGCTGGTTGCATGGGTGTTTTCGTGGTTTTCCCCATGTGTAACGTGTATACGAGCCAGTTTCCCTTAGAAAGTCCTCCCCTTAGGCATCCCTTCCCTTAGGCAGATAGCCCTCGAGGCTTTGCCGTAATCACTCACACAAACACACACAGCGCTATTGCACTACGGTGGCTTGGCAAATGCGGTCAAGAGCAAGAGACTGACGTTAATTACGGAAGGGGAAAGTAAACGGCTGTGTCGGGGATCATAAGAGAAGATATATTTTAAAAGAAAAGTGTTTTTATGTCTCATTCAGTATCAGTATATCAAGAAAAAAAACCTTGAATGGAGATCAAGTTCTGCTCTGTAAATCAGTAACATGTATAAGGATGCACACGGCACCAGAATAGACAAATTACATAGGATAAGTAAAGTTTTGAAGTGCTCTTTTACGTAATTATAAAAGCTCATAATATTAGTATGAACTTTTTTGGTTTATTAATAAATAAATAATTAATATTAATAAATAATAAATTTATTAATAATTAATAATACGTTTTTTAATAAATAGTACATAAACATATCAGTAATAAAGTATTTCAATTATTTTAGTAATAATTAGTAAATATCCATATCATTAATGTACTAATGAAAGGCATTTGAAACCAAAATAGGATTTGCAAATAAATTATGTTAAGAATAGTGGCTCCCATTGTTCTGATTATTATTGATAATTAAAGATTAAATCCGAATTAGCTTAAGATGGTTTTGCAGTTGGAAACAGACTATAACTCATTTTGATTCATTTTTCTTTTCTTTATGATTGACGAATATCCGTTTCCCATACACGTGATCAAATAGGGAGTAAGTGTTTAATCCATAAGATAATAAGAATTGATTAACATTTCCTACAACTACTTCTAATTAAGGCTTCCTAAGAGCAACCCCCTTAATTTTGACTCGCAGCTTTTAATTGTAGACTAAGATACGAGCATAGGATCTACCTTTAAACAATGGGATTTTTTTTAAACACTGTGCAATTACAATGCCTAGTAATAATAGTTTTAGAGTCACTAAGAATCATTTTCTGGATTCCCATACTGATTTTTTTTCCAAGAGATATTAAAAGTTGCAATTGACGAGTATGAGCAATGCATAATACATACATATATAACGTAATACCATAAAGAAAAATCAACCCAACAAAAGCTGATCGACTGTTATTGACTCTAAAGAGGGGTTTATCAGAGAAAAATGGCAATTAAAATCCATTTAAATTTATTTTATTATTTTTATTTACTGTATCGATTATTACTAATTGTAATGGATTGGAGTATTTGATGGAATTAGCTGAATATTTAGAAAATATTATGAGGCGAGAATAAAAAAAATTTTTTTTGAATATTGCTTCTTATAGAATGCAGATAATTCATTTTACTCAATGAAAATCAAAATTTAGTAGCTGATTAATCTGTCCTGTATCGAGTACTTAGTAGTGATCCGATTAATGTGCGCTTTTTTAAAAAAATTAAATGCTTCAAGAATAATAGAAAAGGGCATATTCTCTCGTACCTTAAATCTTCTAAAAAAACTGCATTTTCAGCTATAACCAGGTGAAATAATTTCTAAATATAATTCAAGCATGAAAATAAGGTACATAACGGCTTGGAAATGGAACTAGCATTGAGTTCTTTTAAGAAATATGGTGAGCTTACAAAAGTCTAGAAGTGAGTAATTCCGTAGAATATTTTCTAACTCTTGTGATTAAATGCATCAATTATACTTATAAACGAGATGTAAAGATAATTTAATGTATATGTGGGAGTTGGTGTGTGTGGGCTTACTAGCGGCTGAGCGAAAGTCGTTGAATCTGGCAGGCGATCCGGGTTCGAATTGATGCGCGGCTGTATTGGCTTTTCATGGTTCCCCACGTGTAACGGCGAAGAGTCAGTTTGCTTTAAAGTTTCCGCGAGCCCCTTACCCTTAGGCAAATAGCCGTCGAATGCTTGCTATAATCAAAAACCAGACCAAACAAGATCTATAAATAGTAGCTTAAAAAACTGCTATTTAGTATACTTTAAGTAGTATTTCAAATATATAATGATTAAAATAAAGGAAAAGTCGATCTTAACTGATTGTATATAATACTCCCTATGAAGCCCTAACATTCTTTCTCACTTAAAGTCGTAAACCCAAAGGAGAACAATTAAATTAAACGCGGTATGTATAATACAAAATACAAATATAAAAATAAATTATATATGTACGAAACCTAACTAACCATTTATATTGATATTACGTAAATATAGTATGTAATGACTTGTATAATTAAAATATTTTTTTTTTGTTATATTGTTCTTTATATACCTATACATAGATATATATATTTAAAAATTAAGGACTCCATATTAACTACTACATATAAAACACAAAAAGTGCCCTAATGTATTTTTACTATTATTTAACTTCAGTTCTGAGAATTTTTTGAAATCTAGTTTAAGTTATTTATTCATAAGTCTCAAATAAAAAAAATTATTGTTATATGTCATTAAAAATTAGCCAAAAGCAGCGACCACAATGTAATTGAAAAACAGTCCTTAGACGTGAAAAGGTTGAAGTCATTCGGAATGAGACTATATATCTCCCATACTCAGCTACTTCGCATACATGGAACATAGCATTCGAAATGAAAAACTCAATATTTACTACAAATCATTTTGTAACAATATCTGTCTTCTACCTATGGTTTAAAAAAAAGATGTTATTTCCTACAGTTTATCGTTCAATAATAAATTTCATTGTACAAATTCCATTCATTAGAAAATTAATTGTCAATTTTCCTCTGTATAAAACATGTAGAAAATGTTTAAACGACCCCCTACACTCCCCGCAAGATTATCCCCTCCTCGTCAGCTCTCCCCCTGAAAAAAAGGATGGTAAATTTACGACCTTACCGCATATGATGTGATTTCTTGCACTACACCTTACTTCCACAGCATGTACACATAAACTGCATGTCTAGACAACCCCAAGCTTTGCGAACGATGATTGATAGATCTCGAGCTTGATTAACCTGACCGTCAATCAACAATAACAACAACAGCACCCCAGCAATTCATTCACTGTATTTATTGATCATAGGTTGTACGTTTGAAAGATTAAAAAAAGTACTGGCATAAATGAATTGTGGTTGGAAAAGATTAGGTTAAAGATGTAATTAATGTTAAATTAAAATCTTGTGTTTTATGGGTTATTATTTTTACTCATAAAATTACAAACAAAGTTACATAAATTAGGCAATAAAGGTACTTGTAATTCAAATAGACCGAAAACAAAGATTATCTAATTAATTGTTTAATATTTAGCTATAATGAAGTACAGCAAGATACTACAGACACAATATTATGAAAAACATTAACACGAATAATGGAATTTTAAAATGAAAAGCGGTAAATTACTCCTTCTTTTGTTTTAGAACCTTTTCAAAAGTCTTTGCTGAAGTACAAAGCTGAGCAGTTGTGGGCAATGTACTCTTGAGCTTGCGGAATTCTTCGAATCTTTTTTTTAGTGTGTTGAAACTTGAACAGAGAATTCTAGGAAAAATCCTGACTTCTTGAGGAGTGTAACCTTTCTCATACAGAAAATTAATAATCTGGAAAACAATTTAATAACATAAATTTAAAACACATTTTATACTTACATAATGAAATGCCAGATAAAAGTCAAATGTTATTTATTCCACAAAACTTTTCTTATTCAAGAAAATACCTATTCTCAAAGTCCCAGGAAGTAGGAAAAAAAAAAAAAAATAAATTAAAATATGCTACCAACGGACCTTTCATTAAAAATAACTAATTAGCTGAATTAATACACTTGAATTCATGCATAACAGAATTTACCTTTAACCCCCAAACACGGCTACAGACTTTAGAACTTTTTAGTGGACATAATGTTCTTAATTTAGAACAAATTAGACGAAATGTAGTTGGCACTCACGATTTCAAGCATTAAAGGAGCAACTACATTTTAAACTTCGTGTTCACTGCTTGAAATGATTGGAAGTCCTTCAGAAATCAATGAACCAGCAACAAAAAAACTTTCAAAGATGTCGTTTCAAGTGATTTTGCACAATGTTCTATGGAACCCATATCCGATTCTTGTAAAAAGCTAGATATAGCTCAGAAGCTTGGCTGGTCATCCTTAAAACATGTAATGGTGGCTAAAAATTTTAAGTGCGCACGTTAATCCGTCAACTACTTATTGCCGAGATGTTCACAAGCAAGGCTTTCAGCTTGTAAGTCAGTAAGACCCCGCTTAGCGTGTTCGGTTAGCGCTCTTATTCAACCGGGATTCTCCGAAATTGTGCGCACGCGAGGTTTCAAAACATATCCGAAACAGTGTGTTGTTTTCTGTGCTGGTGGCAGCATTTTTATCATTGAACATTGTTGACATTATTGTAGTTTAATTGTATACACTATACGATTAAACAGTGAAAATATAGATCTTTAGTTTTTATCATGGTTGGATAATAAAAAACAAGAAAGAAAGCAACCAGAAAAGCATTCACTGGAAACTCAAGCAAGAATTGAGATTGATTCTGGTGAACGTCATCCAAATTAATGCTGCATTGCTTTGGCACTTCACAATAAGGACAATTCTAAGAATAAAGAAAAAAAATACTGTCATCGCAACTGGCAACTAAGTCAGCTCTGCAACTAAAAATACCCTTCTAGAAATAACATTACAGAGGAATGGGAAAAGACTGTCTTATGGATTGACGACGAATTGAACGCAATATGCCATTAAGCCAATCTATCATAATGCCTTCTGACAAAAAGGCAGAAAAATTGAAACCAATAGCCTGAATGATCTGACTTGAGAATTTTATTTGTTTTTAAAAGTATATGCGTTTATATTGTTTTTATTTGTAAGAAATAATGTTTGATTTTATTTTTTATAAAAAAACATTATTAAATTTATGCCTAACATTTTTTTATCCTCTTTCCTAACCCCTTATTACATTAAGATAGCCTCGCTTAGCGCTGTTTCGCATTACGCTCACTTCGATGGACATCCCCCGCGTTAAGCGGCTCTTACTGTACGTAGAGTACCTATCAGGGTACTCTGCACACACATTTCTGCACATAAATTAAGTACTTTTAAGGGCTTTAAGGACATTAATGAAAAATTAAGGACCTATGAGCAAATGGGAACTGAATAATCCAATTAAAAATATTATTTATGCCTGAATTCACTTTTTGATACCATCCTAAAAATAAATACATCTCTAAGAGTCTGCATTATTATAAACAGAATTAATTAACATATTATTAATAAGTTTGAATAACAACTTTATGCAATTTATCAAGTAGCATTAAATATTTACACTTATAACAAGATGGACATATTGAAAGAAGATAAGTGACATTTACGTTTTACTCGCAGTTAGCTTTATGTTGATTTTTTTAAATGTCTCATTTTGTCACGTACTTGGTCAGTCTAGAGGTTGAGTAAATAGCAGGTAGATTTTTATGTCAAACGTCATAGGTTAAAATGAGAAGTAAGATCATAATTAGCATGATTCAGAACAAAAGACTGAATGTTGTTACTGCTGCTGCTTGTCTAAAGAGAGAAGACCTGCTCATTAGAAACAAACCTGAAAGGCCTTGATGTAGGCAGGTGTGGCAAGTGCATGAGGCTTTTCAGGTTAGTTTTAATCCATACATTTCAGGTTAATTTTAATCCATAAAGTGCCTACATGAGGCCTTTCAAGGTTAGTTTTTCAGGAAAGCTAGCAAGGCTCAGTTTGATGCAGTTAAGTGTCGTAGCTTCGTGTACTGTTCAGGGGTTGTAACCCAGTTAATATACTTTAAGGTTCCAATAAGCCATTAAGCACCAGAGGTGATAAATTGTTTTTGTATTATTTTAAGTCTCACTAGATGCAAAGAATAAGTTTTACTTGAATTTTTACGTTTTTGTGTTTTATCTTGTGACACATTGAGTATTAATGAAAGGCAATAACTCGCTTTAATACGTAGAGATAATTTTAAGGGTAAGCATATGTTATAAATAATTAAATTAGGTAATTAGATAACCTTAGTCATTATGGATTTACATGGCACAATTAAATTTTATTTTTTAACAATATTTGTTAAAAAAGCCCTATAAAAATCAAAATCTAATCAAATTTCACAGTTTAAAATGCATGTAATTTATAACATTGATTTTTAAACGATATTAGGATAATTACACATTAAAAGCTACAAAACATTTATGTTTTGTAACAACAACACTCAACAAAATATTTATCCGTTATTTTAATTTGAAGCCTTCCCAAACATTTTGGCTAGTTTATATCGATTTCCTTCTCTTTAAGCATCTTTTCTAACAATTAGAGATTTGTCTCAAAATACAAACCAATGCTCTCGCTAGTTTCTGCATCAATCTAACTGCTGTATCTCCTAACTTGTCAACCTCTCCACAATGTACCTATGAGCGTTTACTTGATCTGGTGGTGTATGGTGTATTGAGAATACGGCAAAGCACACTAGGGCTATCTGCCTAAGGGGAGGGATGCCTTTCGTGGAGGACTTTCTAAGGGAAACTGGCTCGTATACACGTTACACATGGGAAAAACCACGAAAACGCCCATGCAGCCAGCCCGTTCGCGGGATTCGAACCTCGGACCGAACTACCAGTGTTTAGCGATTTTACCGCTCGGCCGCTGGTGGGCTCAATACTTGATCTGGTAAAAGTTAAATAGTTGAAAATCTCCAACTGATGTAAAGCAAACTATCGCTATGTCTGAAAATAACTAAAATATCAGACACAGGTTTAAATAAGCCTCTTATATAAAAAGAACAGAGAATACAAAGGCATGTTCTGATGCTAACAAAAATCATTTTCAGCTCACGGTGATGTAATTAAACAAGAACAGTCAAATTCAAACTAAAAGTGTGGACTAGTGGTCAAAGATTATATAATTTAATTTTAATTTAATCTAGCTCAGTAACTCTATCATATGAGGAAATAGAAATGGGAAATTATAGTAAAGGCTGAAATCGTAAACAATTGGGTAATTTACATAGTAATAACTGCACATTTTCTTTGAAGAATAATTTTCTTTGTCTTTATTATTTTCTTTCTTCAACACGTTTCCTTTTCATTTTAGAGTTTTTGGATTTAATTAAAGATTTCCGTTATTCCAAAAAACATGAAATGCATTTAGAATGTATAGAAAATGGCTAATTTTATTCTTTAGTAATATGAACATTCAGAAGAAATATATATGGTAAAGGCCGGTTACAGAGCCATTGTGGCAGAATTTTTAGAATTTAGTGACACACCGAACAACAAAATCTGGAAATGGCACAACTTTTAGAATTTAGAGCAGGCATTGGAAGCAGAATTTAGGCTCCACAGAGATTGCATCAGGTGGGAAAATGCCTAGTGCCAGCTCTGTGTATGATGCATTAAAACATATTAGACGAATCTTTTAAATTGTAAGTTTTCAATTTCTTTATTAATAAAAAAATCCCTTCTATAATTTGCCTGCCCATGTGACAAGATTAGAAGCATTTTTGTTACTTTCCATGCTTGTGTCTAGTGAAAAGTGGAGAAAATAAAGGGAAGATAAACATGTTAAGAAAATGATTCTAGTATCAAGAGTAAAACATTCAAATATTAAGTTTTCATTGTTCTTCCAGATGTTCTCCAAAAAGTAAGAAATTCATCGCAAACTTTCTCTAAAATACATCCGTTACGTGTTAATACCATGGAGACATTTTTCATTTTGTCACATATTTCTCGAATCTTCTAGAATCGTGGGCTTATATATCTTGCCTTCAAATCCTTCTAAACTTTCTAAGCTGCAAGGGTTAAAATACTAAAGAAACATTATCCCTACCAATTCAATAACAGCAAAAAGCCAGAAATATTTTGGAAAAAAAGGGTGAAATTAATTTTATAGAGAAAACTGATACATATTCTGAGAATTTTGAATATTCCGAGACAATTACACGGGAAAAAGTTTTACTATGAAACAATTAAAAAGAAGATATTTTTAACTAATCACATAGCTAATTTTGCTTTTGCTAAGAGCCATTTCCTAAATTGTGCTTTATAGCATTATACCTTCTTTATTTTTCAGAGTCAAAATATTGTATAATAAGTTGCCAAAATGAAATTTTATAACATGACGGCAAAAATTAAAAATGTTATTTTTTAATGTTATTTTTTAAATACAATTTCAATATATTACCACTATTTTAATGAAATTTATCAATGTTAGGATGTTTAAAAAAAAATCGTCCAAAAATTCTCAGATCTCGGAATTAAAAATTTTCTATAGAAACTGATCTTAAAATCGCCAAAATGTTGATAATTCGCCAAATTTAGAACGTTTAATAAAAGAATTCACATCTCCAAAAGCGAAAAGTTGTTTAAGAACTCTTTATTAGAGAAAATGAATTTCGAAATGCTTATATCTCACTTCTTGCTTAGAAACTCGAGTATCCCATCATTTATATTAGAAATAGAAACGAATTATAACCCATAAACCCATTCAAAAGATAACCATATATGCCAGTGAATCACCGAAAATATTCCTCCAAAATGCTAATTCACACTCAAAATGGCAATTGTTAAAAAGAGACAGAAATTTATGATGATTAAAATTAAGGACCTTCTGCTGATTTTGGCCAAAATTAAGGACTTTTAAGGACCAAAAATCTATTTCAAAAAATCTAAGGACTTTTAAGGACTCTTAAGGACCGTACGAACCCTGGCTATCTAACATGTACGTAAAAGGTTGCTTTTTCATTTTAATTAAAATCACTTTTTCTTTAAAAATAGATTTTTTCTGTCATTTCCAACATACGGTACATACAGTAATTAACAAAACTGTACGTAGACATGAAAGTTTTCAGATTTTTAATTCTTTTTTTAGGTACTTTAACGAATATAATTTATCTTTACAAACGAAGTTTAACTGAGATATTATTTACGGAGTGAGTTGTTTGACAGATGTGAATAAACTATTTAATGATCTAAAAGATTTACCTTGTCAGCTACAGTAACTGCAAGCCTACTATGCAACTTCAACTGTTTGTACAGTGTTTGTGACTTTTCTTTGCAAATTTTCCTTCATTTCCAACAACTAGTTAGAAATGCTGCGAATTCAGTTTTACTTTTTATAATTATGCTTGGTTACACACGTTTTTAACATGTTCGCTTCCAACCATGAGTTATTTCGTAGGTCAAAGTTTGAGCTTAGGTACAAGTTAATTCGTAGAAAATTTTTGTTTTACCTACTGCGCATACGATCAAACTCGTAATACTTTCATGTTCTCTGAAGATATCTGGCTTTGAGGATTATAAAAAAATACCATAATTTGGCACAATTCAAGAGATTTACTATAATTAATATAAGTGTAATATAAATAATTATAAATAAAGTAAATAACAGAAGAAATGTAACAATAATCAAGAAATTTATAATGATCTTTGTTATAAATAACTGTTGTAAAAAATAATCAATCTTTGTTATAAGCAACCGTTAACTACAAATATACTCAATACGAGTATACTAGTAAGTTGGTGCTGTCATAAAACATTTTATCGCAAAAACTGACTACGATATAACTCGTCTCATTAATAAAGCAATTAAAAATTATCTAAATTAAATATCTTTCCCATAAATACATGTTTTGTATTTTGATTTTTACAATTAATTAATTAAAACTTGATGGCGTGGTGGAACTGTTTATGAAAATCTCGCTCCTGCGAACATGGTAAAAAATTATAAAATATGAAACAAATAAATCAAGTTTTATTATATTAAAATTTAAATTGCTGGGAAAGTTGAACGTTACGTAAAAGTTTATAAAAGAAAAGCAATAAATCTTATTTATTACACAAATTCGCGCTATGTTACAGAAATAACACATTCTTATTTCATGAAAGTTAAGAAGTTTAATAATATGATGACATACATATTATTATTTTATAATTATTATAAATATTATTATTTTATATTATTATTTATAATAGTTATTTCTCTGAAGATTAACTAGGAAATATCAATATAAAAGACACATTAAAAATTAAAAAGCAAAATATTACCTCTTCTATTTTGGGAATATTGATAGACTTCAGGGATTCCTGCTTTTGCATGATATATATTACATAATCTTTGCTACAGTCGAGCTTCTTTGCTAAATAGCTCACTACATCTTCCCCATTTAAAATCCTTTGTGTCTCTGAATATTTTCCAAGATGAGATTCAAAAGTTCTTTTTGAGCAGCGTAACATCCAAGGCTTCAATTCAATTCCAGCCTTTTCAGCTGCCTGTATTCTTGAAGCAAGTAATTTTTCATTGTAGTTGAATATCCACAGATCTTTAGCAATATATTTGGGAGATATTTTAGCATTTTTTAGAACATTCATTTTATGCTCCAGCCTTTCAAATTTCATTGTTAAAAGTGTTGAATGCTTAGAAAGAACACGCATCAGTTCTGCACTAGACAGTTCAAAATGGTAACATAAATATGCAATACGATTTGGAAAGTTTTTAATCTCAGTTTTATCTTCCTGGGATCGTTTAGCAGCTAAGCGTAAAGAAGTAACAGACAATGACATAAGTGGCAATAACTTTAAAATATCTGAATCAATTTCAGGGAGTAACATGGTTTTCACGTATGAACAATCAGATTCATTAATATAGTCAATGCCTTTCTCTCTGATGTCTTCAATACTGCAACCATGAGATACAAGGAAATTCAAAACTTTTATTAATTCAGCTTTTCTCTCATGATGATCACCTTTTGGTGAAGTTGTTGATATAAAAGTTTCAGCCAATTCATGTATTGCATTTTGATTAGCATTTAATGTTGCTATGTTGCACAGATCACACTCTAATAATTTTTTTATGTTTGATAAAATATTAGAATGTTGAGATAGAATTCTAAATTCTGTGCAGAAATTAAGAGGCATATCTTTTGACAAATATTCAATCTCGGAATAATGCCTTACAATACACTTGGCAGAGTTTCTAGATGTATATACGCATTTTCTAATATTTTTGATATGCGAAGAATATCTAAGTAATTTTTTCCCAATCATTCTTCAGTTTTAAAAAGTACGAACATCTGTAAGGAAAGTGCAAACAAATATATTACAAAAATATTCCACTTAAAAAAAAAAAAAAAAAAAAAAAAAAAAAAAAAAAAACAAAAAAATTAAAAAATTAAAGTTAAAAAAAATTAAAAGCTTCAGCAGGGGTGTTCAACCCAAGGCCTACATGCGGCCCACAAAACGCTAAAGAACGACTCTATAACGTATTTAATGAAATAAAATCGTTTGTGATATTGAAAGCAAAATATGTGTCAGAAATTGACCATGCCAAATGGGGAAAAAATAAGCAGCCTATTTGATACAAGAATTTGAAAATAGATTTCAATATTTTAGAAAAATAATCCAGAATTTTGTATTTTCATGATTCTATTTATAATCGATATAGATAAGCTGCCAGTGAATTTTCAAATAGAATGCATAGAGTTGCAATCTGACGGTCAAATTAAGGAAAATTTTGATCTCGTTTCTTTGCTGGACGTTTATAAATCATATCGACAGAGACAATTATGCCTTGGTGCACATTCTTGTGTTACATATGTCATCATTATCGGGCAACATGTACATTTCTGAACAACTATTTTCAAGAGTGGAGACACTAAGTATAAAACTGGAAGCAAAATATAGAATAAACACCTTAAGAACTCCCTGCAAACTGCAACCACTTCAATCGAACGAAACAGTGATGTATTAGTTCCACAATTCAAGACCAAATATTCCCTTAATTTTATAATTTCTTTTTTTCTTTATAATTATAAATAAAATTTGTAATGAAATATTATGCATTAAAAATATCAAATACAGTGTTAAAATAATTCTATGTTGCTGTCATTATATTAATGTAATATATATACAACATGTTGCAGTTACAGCATTTCCTGAAATGTAAGATTCAATAATCAACAGTCATATTCAAATTGCAGGTACATTAGTATATACACAATGATTAATTAAATCTGATATAATAGGCCTATTAATATGAAAGCTTTATCAAATATTCGGGCCGCAGCCAAGCCACAACTAAGCAATGAAGAGAAGACTGCTGCAGAATGGGTGAGTCAAGAATTTTAAGATGTTTTTTCCCGCTCAAGTTTGGCTCAGCACAGGAGATCATCCACAAATCAAGCAACATCCAAGATGTTTATAGATTGCAAAACAGAAGAAGATAGGAAAACTTCTAAAGGACATGTAAGAAAGCGACATTATCGAGCCTTTAGGAAGTACTTGGGCCTCCCCTATCGTCCTGGTCTGAAAGAAAATTGGTTTCACTAGATTTTACGATTACTGTCACCGCTTGACGAGGTTACGAAGAAAGACAGCTACCTTCTTCTAGACCAAATTGATATCATCCTGGATATTCTTTTTGGAAAGGTTTTCTGGAAAGTGGTTTTCGACGCTCGATTTAAAGAGTGGATATATAATCACCGAGAAAAGATGGCATTTACTACTGGAAGAGGACTTCGGCAGTTCTACACTGAAGTGACAAAAGTCATGGGATATCTCCTAATATTTTGTTGGTCCTCCTTTTGCCCGGCGAAGTGCAGCAACACGACGTGGCATGGACTCAACAAGTCGTTGGAAGTCGCTTGCAGGAATATTGAGCCATGCTGCCTCTATAGACGTCCATAATTGTGAAAGTGTTGACGGTGCAGGGTTTTGGGCACGAACTGACCTCTCGATGATGTCCCATAAATGTTCGATGGGATTAATGTAGGGCGATCTAGGTGGCCAGATCATTCGCTGGAATTGTCCAGAATGTTCTTCTAACCAATCGCGAACAATTGTGGCCCGGTGACATGGCGCATTGTCATTCATAAAATTACCATCGTTGTTTGAGTACGTGAAGTCCATGAATGGCTGTAAGTGATCTCCAAGTAGCTGAAGGTATCCATTCAGTATCGATCGGTTCAGCAGGCCAAGGTTCCCAGTCAATGATCCAGTTGCACAGAGGCCCAGTGCCATGTAAAAACAGCCCAGACCATTATGTAAAAACCACCAGCTTGAACAGTGCCTTGTTGACAACTTGGATCCATGACTTCGTGGGGTCTGCGCCATACTCGAACCCTACCATCAGCTCTTGCCAACTGAAATCGTGACTCATCTGACCAAGCCACGGTTTTCCATTCGTTTAGGGACCAACCGATATGCTCACGAGCCCATGAGAGTCGCTGCAGGCGATGTCGTGCTGTCAGTAAAGGCACTGGAGTCGGTCTTCTGCTGGCATAGCCCAAGGAAGAGAAATTTCGCCGCACTGTCCTATCGAACACGTCCCTCGTACATCCCACATTGATTTCTGCGGTTATTTGACGCAGTGTTGCTTGTCTGTGAACACTGACAACTCTACGCAGACGTCGCTGGTCTCGGTCGTTAAGTGCAGGTGGTCGGCCACTGCGCTGTCCATGGTGGGATGTTATGCCTGAAATTAAATTAGATACTCTCGGCACACTCTTGACACTGTGGATCTCGGAATGTTTAATTCCCTAACGATATCCGAAATGGAATGACCCATGCGTCTAGCTCCAACTACCATTCCGCGTTCAAAGTCTGTTAATTCTCGTCGTGCGGCCATAATCACGTCAAAGCCTCTTCACATGAATAACTTGAACACAAATGAAAGCACTGTCAAAGCACTTCGCATTTATACATTTTCTATGCGATACTACTGCCATCTGTATATTTGAATATTGCTATCCCATGACTTTTGTCATTTCAGTGTATATGATATCGCTTGGATTACGCAATGCGCCTGCCTCCACATTCGAGCATCTCATGGAGACTATGTTGAGATGTCTTTCCTCCGAAGCTTGTCTGATATAAATAGGTGACATCACCATCGTCGACAAGAGTTTTGAAGAACATTTGGGAAATATAAGAAAGGTGCTTCTGAAATTGAATGAAGCCAGTCTAAAGCTAAGTCTTGATAAATGTAAATTATTCAAACAAGAAGTGACTTCTTTGGACATGTCGTCCTTGCCGAAGTTCTTGGTACGGATCTAGAAAAAGTGACGGCAGTTGAAGATTGGAGATACCCCGAAAATGTTTATCAACTGAGAAATTTTCTGGGACTTTGTATCTGTTATAGGAGATATGTCAGGGACTTTTTTTCCATCGCACTTCACCAGCTGACAAAGAGCAAACAAAAGTTCTTGTGGACAAAAGACACAATAGAGATTTATTGTGATTCCGCATGTATAATCAGCTCGCCAAACCATTTATTCTTGACATGGATGCGAGCAATGAGAGTGCGGTGCTGTTTTGTCCCACGATATAAACGCTCAACGTGTCGTAGGAAACTGGAGCAAACGTTTATCTAAACCTGAAATGAATTACTGTGTCAATAGAAAAGAGTTGCTCGCTGTAATTCAAGCCGTAGAACATTTCCTTCTACGGCAGAAAATTCCTACTCCGTACAGACATCGTCGACCCGGCTATTAAATTTCAGGAATCCCAAAGAGTATATAGCTAGACGGATACATACACTCCACGAACATGACATCGCTATCATTCATCGGAAAGGATCATCGCATGGAAACGCCGACGCCCTGTCTAGAAGTCCTTGCCCAGAAAGCTGACGATATTATTCCACAGTTGAAACGAAATACGAGCCTGGCTAATCTGGTCGCACGTCGGGTTACAACTTCAACATCGGCTGATAGAGACCCATGGAGTGACGAGAAAGTCAGGAAGGACCAGTTGGAAAACGGTAACATAAAATCCATAGCTGATTTAATAGAATCTACAAACAGGAAACTTACCTGGAACGAAATTTGGATCTATAGTTCTACGAGGAATATAAAAAAATATTACGAAAGAAATGAAATTTGTATTGTATTGGGAATATCTCTAGGAAAAAAAGATTGGGCTCTCCATATTCGAAATGGCGTCTTGTACCGAAAGTGTAAATCAGATGATGAAAAGGCATTCCGATGGCAGCTCATACTTCCAAAATGCCAGACGTTCTTAAAGAACTACATAGCAGTCCGACTGGAAGTCACTTCGAAATAATGAAGACTTTGTATAGTGTTTAAAAGCGCTTTTGTTTCTTCAACAGCGAATAGTGCAAGAGCCGACGTGCAGAAGTAGTGCCAATCTCGCGATGCCTATATGAGTCGGAAAGAACCGAAGAAACGCAGCCGAGGGAATCTGCAACGTTACCATGAAGCAGAGCTTTTTGAACTCAATGGCTTTGACATTCTGAGACCTCTGCTATGAACTGCTCATGGCAACAAAGTGGCAGAATCATATCCTATCCCTCATCAAGGGGTTGTCACGATAACAGAGGTAATAATACAGCATTGGATTTTCAGTTTTAGAGTGCCTCTTTAGTTACATTCCGATCAAGGAATGGATTTTATTTCAGCTGTAATTAAAGAACTCTGTAAACTATTCAGCAGAGACAAAATCCAAACGACAACTATACCACCGCAGTGAGACGGCACGGTAGAGGTTTAATCGAACCACCCTTAATAACTTCTCGCTGATGGTTTTCAGAATGAAAAAGAGACAACTGTAATCGTCTCCGACTGAAATTTAGCAAAAATGTAAGTTTAATTCATTTCTGACCTTGTTAATGTATCATAATTATGTTGTTTTTAAATATAACATACACTTTTACTATTTTATTTTATTTCAGTCTATTGAGAATATATTAATCTTTTATTTTATTTAGTTTTTGGATTGTTTTACTATGATCTGCTGTAAACATTTTTGCGACAATAAACAAATTAGCACACTAGTCGTGCCTTTTTATGAATATTTAAATTTTTTTTTTTTTTTTTTTTTTTTGTTTGTATTATTGTGGCAAGACGAAAACAGAGAGCCAGCGGTTTAGAGGCAAAACAAGCAGAAGCAAAATCTACCAGACCTTGTGTTCAGGATGAAATATTAACCCAGAATGAGTTAGTTTCGGTTTTAATGCGTTTGATTAGGTAATTAATAATGCTGTAAAATTATTATTGGTTGTTTTAGTTCCATATACGTCACCAACGTTATGCAAGGGTCATATGACACAGATTAGTCTGGAAGTGACGTCGTGAGGAAAAAGGTATTAGCATTTTTAGAATAGAGAGGTAAAGTACCCATATTAAAAAGAGAAATCTAGGGCTATTACTAATTTAAATTATAATTTATATTTACATATGTTTTATCTTACATAATATCCAATTAAGCATTAAGGGGCTATTGCTAATTGAATGTATAATTCAGAGTTACATATTAGAAATTGTAGCTGTAATTCAACAAACAGTTCATCTGATAATAGCAAAAGTATTTCCAATCATGCTGACATTTATGATTATTCTGCCACTTATCTGAAAGAGGGAGGACGCTAACTTTTTACAGAAAAAACTCAAGAGAAAAAATGACACTACTGCATTATTAGCCAATTCGCAAATGTACAGAATACCTTTAGAGAAAAATATCACAAAAAAAGTTGTTATTTATCACAAAGTTACCCGGTTTGAAATATTTCAAGTATTAAAGTATCTTATCCACTTGGCTACTAAAATGGGCGAAATTCCTATTATAGCAATATACATTTTCTAATTAAACTTTAATTGTAATTTTTTTAAATTTAAATTAATGTTCTTAGGCTGATTTACAATTACCTGCTAGCAACAAACATCATTAGCAGTAACATTTTATGTCTGAGAAAAGGTAAATAACAAAAAAGAAAACAGTAAACAGAAAGTTTGAAAATTGTTAAACTTGAAGGATGTAACATTACACTAACTATAACAAGATAAAACCAGCAAGGAAAGCTTGGAATTCTACTTTATATGACACTCCTTATTTTATCCATTTTTACCTTCCTTAATGTTTTACTGACAACTTCGCAGTTGTGAAAATTGCACAGTGATTTTGTTAGAAATGAAAAAAAAAAAAAAATCATTACAGAAATGTATTTTAGTGTTTAGAGGGAATAAAAAATTAGTATTTTCCATAAAAAATAAATTGGTACATATATATCAGTTTAACACATTTTACTTTTTCTTTGTTTTTTGGTAGATCCTTTCAGAAACTTTCATTCTCAGAGTTTCATAAATAATATATATACTACATATTTAACAAAATGCTTCATAATGAAAGACACTGAGCACACATAAAATTGTTTTGCATTAGTAACTCTGTCTGATAAAATGCAGATAAGAAAGTAGCCTTGAAATATTTTTTCATTTAGAGCATCTGATATCTTTCGCCTTTTCACTTCGAAATTCTTTCTGATTGGAGTAGTTTTTATTCCAGTGTTGTGCTTGTGGGTTAAATGTTGATCTTAGACATATACTTCTTGATATGAAATTTCTCAAAACAAGGTAAAGAAATTTATGGGAACAATTTCAACATCAAGGATGGAATAATCCTGTTAGTTTAAGATCTAACTTTTTATACAATGCTCCTAGAGTATAAAATCCCAATAATAAATTCTCCCTCCTTACAGCATGCCCTAGTAGTATAGCGGTTAGCACACTCGGCGCGTATTCAAGAAATACAGGTTCGGGTCCCGGCGAGGGCACTGCTCCTTTTTCATGTCTCCCTCTTTCAAAATAACCTAATGTCTCTACAGTGGCGCCCGAACTAAAAAGTAGTGGATGATGATTCTTCACCACCAGGATTTGGCGATTGAGGTCTCCTAAGCCCCCCAGTTGTCCTTTAAAAGGGAGATTATATTTTCTCTCTCCTCACAGCATGTCTACGTGGTGTAACGGTTAGCACAGTCGGCGAGTATCCAGAGGTCCAGGTTCGAGTCCCGGCGAGGGCATTGCACATTTTTTATGTGTTCTGCTTCAATAAGTAATATAAAAAAATTAAAGTCAATTCCTACTTGGGTCCACAAAGAAAAAATTTAAAAATACAAACAAAGAAAAATGAAATTAAAAGTTTTTTTACATTTTTAATTTGTGAAAAAACTGTATTAACATCAAATGTCATCTACTACAGGTTTAAAAAAATGTATTTGAATGTGAGTGGATGAATAAAAAGTATTTTATTAACGATTGAAAATTAATTAATTAATAATTAATTAAATAAAAAAATTAAAGTCAATTCCTACTAAGGTCAACAAAGAAAAAATTAAAAAAAAAAAAAATAAAAATACAAAAATTTAAAATTTAATATGCGAAAAAACTGTATTACATCAAGTGACATCCACTACAAGTTTTAAAAATGTATTTGAACTTGAGTGCATGAATAAAAAGTATTTTATTAACGATTGAAAATTTGAACAAGATATAGGAAAAGTGTGAGCCAATAGTAGAAATTAAAAAAAAAAAAAAAAAAAAAAAAACACCTAATGTCTCCACAAAACATTAAATAACTTCGTTAGGAAAATTTTCAGAATTAGTATTAATAGTTAACAGGAGATCAGGTAAAATAATAAAACTCAATTTATTAAATCTAATCAGATCCAATATAATCAAAATTAACAAAAATGCTGTGTTACCAATAAGGGGAATCATTTTCATCAAAACAAACAACTTTTGTTCTGATTTTTGTCTTAAATCTCACAAAACTTTGCTCTATATCGCTTAAGAGTTGGTACTGAAAGTGATATAAGTCAGCTAACAGCAAAATTTTTCAAAAGAATTACTTTTATATTATAATTTTGACAAGTATAAAAACAACTAAGTACCAGTGAAGAAGTTTTGAAATACCTTACTACCTTGTAAAATGGCTTAAAGAAAGAATATTTGTTTTGTTTTTATTTAAAAATTATTTTGCCAATATATTTAATCATAATAAAAATTCAATAACAGTTATATTAACAAAGCCATAAACTTTTATGCATATTTTCTTTCTTAATATCTAAGAAAGAAAATATGCATAAAAGTTTATGGCTTTGTTATGAGGTATTTCTCCCGCCTTCTTAGAAATCCTTCGTGGTGTAATTCAAACTATGTGTGGTGTAGTTCGAACTATGTGTGTATGTGGGTTTATAGAACCCTAAAAACCCAGTCCCCCTTTAAAAGGGGGAGTATATAAGGTATTTCTCCCGTTTTCTTAGCAATCCTTCGTGGTGTAGTGGTCTGCACGCTCAGCGCAGCGCGTAATTGAGAGGTCCGCGGTTCGATTCCCGTCGAAGGCGTTGCTAATTTTTCATCTTGCCTGCTTCCAAAAAAATACCTAATGTCTCTACAAAGTTGTTATCAAAAACTCAACATCGAAGCCAAATAATACAAGATGATATTCATCAGATACCTATGACATCTTTAATACTTAATCCCGCTTTATTCTAAATTTCAGAGAATAAAAACAATTACAATATAACTCCAATTATCTGGATAGCTTATTCTTTTGTCCAACTCGAGTAAAACCAAACTTCTTGTTAGTTTACTTATGTGTTTTCATTTCTTTGATTTAAATAATATAAAAAGATAATACAATGTGCACTTCTTTAAAAATCATTAAATCATATAATCGAGCAATTTACACAAAAAATATAATAAAAATATAATTACAAAGATAATGTATAACAGAAGTTAAAAATTTCTGGAAATCATAATACGTAACACTGGATGATGTATAAAATAATATAACCATACAAAATTAAGTTATAGTTTCATATACGAATAATTTAAAATTCGTTTTTATAGAAAAAATAAACATTATTATATATATAAATGTTATATAAATATATTATTACATATTATAAATTTGAGAATTTATTCAGACATATTGAAACTAAATTTTTCCTTAAAAAAATGCTCAAGACTTATTAAGTTTTAGCTGCTAAATACAATAAATATGAGATACATCAAAATAAATTTATACTTCCATAAGCATTTATTAACTGTCATTATGAATGCTTTTTATAGGAAACTTAAAATATCATGAATAATTACCAACGGCCACGTAGTTGAAGATACAAAATACCAATAACCTTGCCAGTTCTATTTCTGAAAGCAAAACAATTTAGTTGCATAAGTATTTCGGAGTTTTTACTTTCCATAATATAAATACATGTAAATTTAACTAAAAAGGCTTCTACATAGGCATTCTCTCTAGATAGACAATCCTCAATGTATAATGTATTGTTGTAATTAATTAACATAACTTAAAACCCCTCAGAAAGTAATTAGATTAATATAAGGGTGATTCTAAATAACTTTTACAAATTAAGAGGGGTGATAGTACTCATTCAGGTGAGCAACAATTACCGTAGAACATAGAATCGCATTCCACTCTGAGAGGCAGAAAAGAAGAATATTAGAATTCCAATCTGAACTTAAACAGTGCTGCTGGGAGAACGAATGAACGAGACCAAATGTTGCGCAATGAGTTTAGTGACAAACTCACAGAGAGTGTAAAACGGATAAAATCGAAAACGCAATCAGTTTAGTGACAAACTCACAGAGAGTGCACAAAAGGGATGAAATTGAAAACTTGGCGTTCGAGTGTTAATTCAAGCTCTGATTTTGATGGCAAACATTCAAACGCACATTTTCGGTTGGTAAGGTCTCAACCTCGCAAACGATTGCAACAATTATGTAATCAAGGGCTGAATATTATCAACTAACTCCAACGTCCGCTGCATGCCGAGATTAGCATGAAAAGCTCATGCTGCGTTCCGGCTGTCAGAACTTCGTATCCCATAGAAGGGCGCTTCAAGTAGAATGAGCACAGTAGAGTTAAGTCCAGAGAAACAGGATAGAAGATGGCTAAGGAAAAACAACTGCTACCTTGATACTTGATATCAAGGTAGTTCCTCCCCCAATAGATAATTTCCCTTTAATAATTTAGGCAATTAACTTGTTGCAATCATTTGCAAGGTTGGCACCTTGCCAACCAATGATGTGCATTTGAGTGTCAGCCATCAAAGTCTCAGCTCTAATTAACATTCGAACGCCAAGTTTTCGGTTCTATCCGTTTTGTGCACTCTCTGTGAGTTTTTCATTAACCTGATTGTGCAACATTTGGTCTCGTTCATTCGCTCTTCCAACACTGTTGCAAGTTCAGATTGGAATTCTAATATTCTTCTTTTCTGCCTCTCGAATGCGACCCTATGTTCTATGGTAATTATTGCTCATCTGGTTGAGTACTATCACCCCTCTTTAATTTGTAAAAGTAATTTAGAATCACCCTGTATATTTTTGATATTAAAATTTTTTTGCAATATTTTGTGCAGTTCTAATTAAAAAAGCCAAATTTTTAAGAAACTCTTGAGAAACAATGGAAAATTATTACAGTCTAATATACAAATATACTGTAAAAGTTCAACAATTCAGCGCACTTAATAATGAAGCATCCCTTTCAGTGATATTTCAGTCATTAAATGGTACTATAATCATTTCTTCACAAAAGTTCAGCAGCTTTTCTCATCTTTGTTCAAAACTTTGGTTTTTATGTATCAGTTGCTTTTCTTTATTTTCATTTATTTAGAATATTTTCCAAGCTTGATATAAGAATAAAATAGAGATAATTTTAACAATTCAACAGAAGCTGTTAATAGAACATATCGATTAAAAAGTTATTCGAAACTTCTTGAATAAAAAACCGAAATTCATTCGTGAAAAATTTATTAAACCTTGATTGCAATGTAAAGGACGGCATCAGGGATACACAAATTCAGTTCAAAATAAAAGATGCAATTATCATAGCGGCTATTGCTTGAAAACCACAGACACATTACAAAAAAGTTTGGAAAAAAATTTGTGGGTAAATATTTCATAGGAAAATTCTGTCGAAGGAGAAAATACTGATGATCCAATGACCAAACAGTGAATTATTGAAGGCAGCTGAAAGTCTTTCGTGAAGCAATCTATTAATGAAATTATTAAATGGATCGAAAGTGATAAAAAATGTTGCCTTATAGCATTATAATTCAAAGTGAGTTTAATTCCATGCAGCGAAAATGAAGAAGGACAGCAAAGATTTAACCATTTAGCATGTAAAAAAATTCACTTAGCATGAGGATGGTAAAAAACACAATATCACAGAAATAACAAAAACTTATATTTTAAAGAATGCTCTTCCGCCCTCTCCCCTCCTCTTCTTCCTTTTTTTTATAGAACAAAATCTTTGAATCAACTGCACACTTAAACTTTAGTTTTTAATAACTCATGCATTGTTATTATTAAAGATTTCAAAACAAAAACATATTAAATGTATTAAACTATGAATAAACTAATATCTTTTTTAGTCATTAAAATAAATTTGTAAAGTTACAACTTTAGGTAAAGAAAAAGTCATTTTTATGGCATTATACAATGAGTCTGATAAATTGTACAGTTTACGTCTGCCACATTATCGAACTTTTGGAGACAACTAAAAATTCATATTGCATTTTCTGCATTCGTTAATTAATTATGATAAAACTTTCAAATACTCTTCCCCATACAGAGGCATGCTTTCGCACAGAACCTTCTGGAAGAAACTGTCTTATAACTACACATAGAAGAAATCAGAAATCAAATCCATTGCCAACTTTTTGCAGCTTAGGTGCTTTTAGATAATTTAATTTTTACTTTTGCAAAAAATAACGGCAATGATAAAGTGAAACTCTATATCAACAATATAATAACCAGTTGTCTAAGAATTTAAGAAAATACCATAAACACTTTAAATCCCCGGAAATCGAGGGGAGGCTTTCATGCGTGAAGGTTGTCTGCTTCTACGCTACGATCTGGTTCTTACTACGTGTTTTTTCAGACGTACGTCCCATGCCTTGCATATTCGGTATGCCTAACGAACATCGCTCGGTCATTGTTGACCAAGCGTATGCTATTCTTAAGTTGTTTGGAGATGAAATTGATGATCCTGACAGTAAAGAAATTTATGAAGCTCTACATAAAGTAGATGTTTTACAAGAGGAATTACGAAACTGCAAGCCTGTGAAATCGGCGCTCTGAAAAGACCATAATGTTAGAGGAACATTGTGTCGTGAAGCAATTTTACGAAAAAAATTACTTGGAAGGATTATCCGAAGAGTGACCCGGTTGTGATGGAATTTACTAGAAGGCAAGCTGAAAGGAAGAGAAAGCAGTTTCTCAAGCCTTATAAGCCTAAAGATGACGAGTGTAAAACTCCGACCAAAGTAGCGAAGATTGTCACTGCTCCGGCTCCGGAACCGCTGAAATCTAATAACAAGAAGATTCCTGATGCTGCCTCGACTTCCGAAGTAGTCACGAAGAATAGCTTTGAAGCTCTTACTACAGTTCTTGCTCCTGCTCCCATGGACTGTGCTGAGAAATTGAATAAAGAAGTCATCGATCTTACGCATGACACGACGAATAAAGCTAATGCAAAAAAGGAAAGACCTCCTCCGATCAATCTGCCCGAGACCGGAGAGGAAATGGAGCGATCTTAGAGGAAAGTTCAATAGACACGGCGTCATGGATTATGTCGGCGTCCTCAGTAGAGACAAAATCACTCTGATTTTTAACTCGATCGATCACAGGGAACGAGCAAAACCTGTGCTCATGAAGGATGAGGTGCAGTTTAGCACGTTTTAGACAGAAAAAAGAAACACCGCTTAAAGTTGTTATCCGCGGCCTACCTGAAGATTCAGCAGTTGAAGAAATTAAAGCTGAACTAATAAGAGATAGATTTCCTGTACTCAGCGTCTCGCAGTTTACAAGAAAAATCGATGGAACAGAAGTTAAGCTCCCAGTTTTCTTTGCCTCATTCAAGCGGAATGACGAAGGTAGGAGCATTTACTGAAGAAAAACGCTACTAGATCTCTGGGTCAAGTTTCGGCGATTCAGAACCGAAGCACGACGATATGTTTTAGATGCCAGCGCTATGGCCACGGCCAGATTTTCTGTAATAATGCACCAAGATGTCTCAAATGCGGACAGGGTCACCTGACCTACACCTGCAAACTTGCCAAAGAACTGAAGCCTACTTGAGCAAACTGTAAAAAGGAACATACAGCCACGTTGAAAATGTGCGAATTTCGGCCGAAAATTCGAGAACCCGCTACCAAGAAGAAATTGAATCCAGCACGGAAGACACTGCCAGAAAATTCCCCTCCGCTGTCTGAATTCCCAGCTTCGAAAGATGAAAATCTGCCATCAAAATCCCACTCAGATGCATTACCTGCTAAGCCGGATATTACGATGGAAAAAAACCTACAGTTGATTGCTCTCAAATTTTTATTGTGGATAAATGCAAGAAAATTGAATCTCCGCAAGAAAAAGTTCTACTTGCTCTAGGAATGGTAGAACAGATGATGAAAATGGACTTGTAATTTCTCCTTTTCACGGTAAGATGTTTTCATTAGTTTCGACTTTTAGTTCCAAGGCTTCCGATGGATGGGCGCCACCTAATGGACTTTTCGGCTGAATCACGGAGGAATTCTCATGGAGAAATCTTTGTTCTGTAGGGATGGAATTTTTAAATTTCAGAGGTACTTAATGCACACTCCTGCTCAGAAAATAAGCAGAAAGAAAAGGTATGGCTGTAAAAAAGTGGAATTAAAACATACAATTTACGTATGAAGTAGAGACTGCATCGCCGAATGCAAATAGCCAACCAAAACTAGCATTAAATGCAATCCCGCAGTCAAACCACAACGCCTTAAAAGGGGCACATGAGACCTATGCGTTAGTTCGCAAGCAGCGATATTTTCGCGTAATCCGAGATAGCCAAAACGGAAAGCATGAGACGAGGACCCCTTTGTATGAAGAAATGGGTTGGAGGGCTGTCGGGATGTTATAAGGTGGTGCCAGACAATTCGTTGTTGCGTTACAGCTCAATGTGCATCGTAGTGCCATCAACAGGTTGTGGAATCATTACCAAAGGGATCGGAAAACCGAGTAGAAGATGTCATTTTGAACACCGGAGGATTACCACAACAGCAGACGGTCGTTCTTGTTGCTGTGTGCAAGACGCCGCAGATCACTAACAGCACGATTGCTGGCGTCGCATCTCTCTGCTGCTGCAAGAGTCATATCTC